AAAAAATAATACTTTATATTGGGGTTATATAAATATAGTACATTATAGGTGTGGAATAAAAGGAGGAGGAGGACATGAACTTATAAGAGGTAAAAGACCCCCATCAATCTTCCATAAATTCTTTAAGTAACCAGAGGAACAGGGAGCATATCTCAGTTCTTCTGAGGCCAGCGTAACACTAATACCATAACATGAAATATCAACCAAGAAAGAGAAAATTGTAGACCAGTATACCTTGTGAACACATAGTTCTGAGCAAACTATCAGTAAAGCATAACCAGTAAGAATATGATTATATATATATATATAGTTATATTTATACATATGTATATATTTTATGTATGTGTATATATACCTACATTTACTCCATATATAAATCTTACAATTTGATTTTATCCTAGTAGAGCAATATTGGGTTAACATTTGAAAAAGCAGTGAATGTAATTTACCATATTAATTGACAAAAGAAAAATTATGTAATTTTTGTGGTTAATTCACTAAAAACATTTGATAAATCAACCCATTAGTGTTTAAAACTGAGTAAATTAGTACTAGGAGTTTCTTCCCCCCCCCCCATTCTGATAAGAGACACCTACAAAAATTTTACAGCAAATCATACCCTGATTAATTTTTTTTAATTCAAGGATTGAAAATAAAGAGGTCCATTCTTACTATTTATATTTATCATTATACTGGAGGCTCTAGCATTGCAATAAAAAATGAAAGAGACTGTGGTTTAGCTATTTTTTTTTTGTAGATTCCTTTAGATTTTCTAGATATACAATTATGTCATCTGCAAATAAAGACAATTTTACTTACTCTCCTTCCTGTCTAATCTCTATGTAGTGGTAAAAACCATCACAGTACCGATTCACTGTGGACTTTGCTGCACACACATTGTAGTTTGGATTGATGGTCCCACTGATACTGTAAACTGTTCTTCACAGTTTCTAGACACTTGACATGAGGTATTGAGTGAATTCTCCACCATCTGTGGTCCCTAGCCGCTTCTCTCCGCCTAATTTGTATACTTCTCAGTTGCAAAACTAAGGTCATATTCACTTACTGCCTTAGCTGCAGAGGAGGCTTAGAAAAGTGATTATATGGCATTTGCAGCTTCTTTAAGTTCACAAGATAGAATGGGGTTTCTTTTTTATCAGGCAGGTAGAATGACAGTTCCTATAAAAAGTAGAGGAAGTACTTTCTAAAACTTTATTTCCCCTGAGCAGCATTTTTGAAGACTGTCTTTTCTCTAATGCATGTTCTTCTCCCCTTTTTTGAAAATCAGTTGACTGTAGATCTGTGGGCTTCAGGGCTCTCTATTCTCTTTAGTTGGTATATGCTTCTGTTTTTCTGGTGATAGTATGCTACTTTGATTACTATAGCTTTATAATGTATTTTGAAGTCAGGTAATACAATGCCTCTTTTTTTTCCCCCTCAAGATGGTTTTTTTTTTTTTTAATTCCTTCTTTACAAACTTTTGATTTTTTTTTTTTTTTTGGTAGTTTTGTAAAGAATGTCACTGGTATTTTGAAAGGAATTGCATCGAACCTGTGATCACTTTGGGCAGTATAGATAGTAAACAATATTAATTTTTCTAATCCATGAACACAGGATGTCCTCCCCCTACCCCATTCCCCCCCCCTTTTTTTTTGCGTGTGTGTATGTATGTATATCTTCAATTATTTTAATCAATATCTGGTAAAATTTATTCCTAGGTGGTAGTGGTGGTGGTTGTTAACCATTGTAAATATTGACTAGAGATATAAATTTGGGAGTCCAGGTGCTGTGTACCTGATAATTGAAAACAAAGACCTTAAAGTGATATCTTTAAACTACTGAGGTAAAAATGGCTGCCAACCCAGAATTTTATAATAGCCAGAGTATCTTTCAAGAGGGAGAATGTAAGATACAGTAAAGAGGTATACACATAAAAATAAAGACATATGAAATTGTCTGGGGAGACAATTTAGGGTAGGAAGAGAAGGGGACATAGAATCAGGCCTTAAGAAGCACAACATTCGAGGCCAAATAGAGGAAAAATTTAGTGACTGTAAAAATTAATGTTAAGTAATGCAAATTGAAAGCATGTGTATGTGGTCAAGAACATGGACTCTCAAGTTGGACTGCCTAGGTTTAAATTCAGACTTATCATTTACTAGCTTTATGACTTTCGGACACGTTATTTTTTCACTTTATACCTCAGTTTCTAAGACAGTAAAATGTGAGAGTCTGGGGAAATTTTTTGTATAGTTTTCTGTTCTCTGCAGTACACAAAGTTATGCTTGAAAAGGGTTTTGAATGGATATGGAGTATCTCCCACATTCATAAGCAAAGAAATGGATATAAAAATAACAATAGAATATTTTTTCAACATCAGATTAGTAGAATAGAAAATTAGAAAACTTTGTGTTGTGAGTGGGAAACAGCCACTCACAAATTGCTGATGGGAGTATAAATTAGTAAAACATGTATGGAGGACAAATTGATAATAACTTATCACAATTGTCAATGCACATGCTAGTTTATATATTTCTACTTTGAAATTGCCCATAGCCACATAGTGATACATCACGTAGCTACATAGTATAGAAACAAATTAAATGTTCATCAGTAGGAGTCTGATGAAATAAATTGCAATATATACATACTAAAGGAAATTCTGCGGCCACTAAAGAGAACAAGGTGGTAGTCTTTTGTGGACTGATTTAAAAAGATCTCCAAGGTACAACAGTGAGGGAAGGAAATAAGTTCACAATATGATAATCTGTGGTGGAGATTCTGTGCATGAAAATGCAACAGAATTTATTTTTCAAGGAGGGCTCAGACTTAAAGTATTTGATGTTTGTAATGGTTAAGAACCATGCATACCATGGAACTGGTTAAATACAAAATATTTACTAGATATTTAAGAAGCTGGTAACTGGTTGAATTATAGAAGGAACTGTGTGGTTGAGGGGCAGAACTGTATAATTATTTCTACTTTTGAAATTTACTAGATTTTATGTTATTTGCCTGTGTTGCATGTTAAAATATAATGTTTTAAATTAGCTGTTCTGTTGTCTTAATCTTATCAAAATATTTTTCTGAAATAGAAAGTACAAATCAGTTAAACGACTGGGGTCTGTCAGGAAACTGAGGCAGTGCACAGACAACCCTCGCCTCCTTCAAGCCCTAATTCTTTTGATCAGTTCAGAAAGATTTCAGACATATTGCTAAGAGTAACAGGCATGAGTTTATTAGAAGGGATAGGGAAAAAGAGGACATGCTTGCTCTAGGGAGAGAGTAGATCCTCTCAGAGAGGGGAGGAACAGTGTGCCTCTCCTGACTTCCAGTTTTATTGGGGGTTCCAAGAAAGTTTTCAGAGAGTCCTAACCAGATCTACCTCTTGACCTATGATCAACAGCAGGATGATATCAGACTTTTAAGTTCCTACTACCATAACAACTCTCAGTCACTTTGGCCCATGCTAACCAGTTCTAATTGGAACCTGTTCTTACAGATTTTATGGTTAGTAGAAATTATCCTTATTTCCTTGAGTTGTGGGATCTGCTCTGTATTAGGAGTCACAAAAGTTCCTGGGCTTCTCTTATTGGCATTATTTCAGTCCTGCATTTCCTGTGCAGATAACAGGTAGTTTTCCTGAGGTATGTAACATGTCAGTTTAAGCCAGGAGGGGCTGAAGATAAATTGCTTTTTAAAAGAAAACGTGGGGTCAGCATGGTGGGCCCAATTAATAGAATTATTAACATGTAATTTTAAATATTTAAAATTGTATATAAAATATGTAATTTGGGGGGAGTGTTCCCCTCAATCCTTCTTAGCCTTTATTACTTTTTGTATTCTTAATGATTTTGCAGAACATCTTAATGTTTGTCCACTTGTACAATGTTTCCTACCCTGAATAATTTTGGGATGCTTGGTTTAATATAATCTCAAATCAAAACTTTTATCTGTTTCAGGCTGTCAACTACTAGTTATTTGGAGATCAAAATTATTTGGCATCAGTGAGAAAGTAGTATCCTAAATAATTCATCAATTTGGAATTGTTTTGAAAGAGGATAGGCTTAAGGAATATAGGAGAACACGCCACTTTTCCTACTAGAACATTCTGAAACAGTCTTAGTTTAGAGTGTCTGAGTCAGTAGTGTTCAGAATAGAGTACCCAAATCTATTTATTAGAATATGCTAAGCAAATAATAGAAATTTTACCTTATACTTCTTGATAATAGTATATGTTTTTAAAAGTTCAGAAATCACTGATATTACGTTTTTGTTTTTGTTTTTGTTTTTGTTTTTAACTTTGGGAACCAAAAAAGCAGCAAGTGGGACTGAAGGTTGAAAATTGGAATGTGAACTCAAATTTTTTTTTCCTTTTATAACATGATTAGGTCTTAATGGAAAATGTTGAAATAGAAACGTGTTTATAGTAATCCAAGGCCAGTTATCCAAATTGGATTACATCTTTCTTTTACTTCTGTTTTAATTTTAATTTATCATCGAAGTTAAGTTTGAATATCTTGAATGAAAATTTTACAGCCTCATTTTTTTTTCTGTTTTCTTTTTCTTTTGGTAATGGTGCTCAAACCCCAGGGCACTTTCCCACTGAAGCTACAACCTCAGTCCTTTTGGGTTTTATGTTGAGACGGGGTCTCACTAAGTGGTTTAGAGCCTTCCTTGTTGCTGGAATTATAGGCATGGGCTACCATTCCCTGCCATAGCCTAATGTTTTAGATTTTTTTCCAGCTAAAAATAGAGATAATATTGATACCTGACCTGTATCTTTCTTTTCAATTAATTGTAGTTTTAGGGTTTTCCATGCTGGGTACCTTTCCTCAGTTTGCAAACATTTTCTCTGATTAAAATAGTCTCCATGATAACAATAGGTTGCCCTCCGCCCCATGGACCTAATACATTGTGGAATGCATACTGTGAGAAATAACAATTTGCAAATACTTATTGGTGTCTGTAACTTGTGATCATTCATATTTTTGTCTTAGATATTCAAGATTAAAGCAGTACAGTTGGCTGAGAAACTCCTACCTGCTTTTAACACACCTACTGGGATTCCCTGGGCAATGGTGAATCTGAAAAGGTAAATTCTATTTTATTGGTTATTTCTATTCTGGAAGATTAAATTAACAGATTTTTTTGTTTATTTTTTTTACCTGATTAGTCTTATAAATTTCTTATGATCTTCTCCCACCATGCTTTTCAAGGCATAAATTGTTTTTCTTTGCTTTTTAAATATATGTCCTTCACTTTAAAACAGGTCACCTGCTCTAACTTCATTCCACTTTCTACTACTTGTTTCTCTCAGATTTTTTTTCCTTATGTATATGGTTACATAATATTTATTGTTCATTTCCATTTAGTGCTCTAATAGATTCAAAATACATTTTCTCTTTTTCTTTTTACATATCACATGCTTTTTTCTGAGTCAAAATGGAAAACAGTGTGCCTAGAAATTGGTTTTTCTATTGTTGACTCATATTAATAGTAAAACTACACCTAATTCATGATGTTGGCTGAAGGGTCTTTATTATTTATGTTCTTCTTTTGGGGGTGGGTACTGGGGATATAACCCAGAGGTGCTTTACAACTGAGCTATGTCCCTAGTCCTTTTCATTTTTTATTTTGAGCAGAGTCTTGCTAAGTTGCTGAGGATCTAAGTTACTGAGGCTGGTCTTGGACTTGAAATCCTCCTGCCTCAGTGTCCTGAGTCACTGGGATTACAGGCTTGTGCCACCACACCTGGCAATAATATCTACACTCTTGAAAATCAAAGTGAACTCTAAAGGATTATTCTTTGCAATCTATTTCATTCTAAAACACTACCTTTTACTTAGAAATACACAAAATGTCTTCTTCATATAACTTTCAAACAAAGGTACAAAATTAAAATTTGAATGATGTTAACATTTTAACTGGTGTTTAAATTATTCATGCTGACTGAAATTTTTGCTGCTCATTTCCAAGTAATATTTATTTTAATGTTGAAGTTTATAAATTATGTGAAAATTTGACAGTTGATCCCCTTTTATCCAAGCTCTTTAGAATAAATGTTAGGAACATTTATTTTTCTCCAGGTGTGAATCTGTGAATTTATTTGAAAAAATAATCTATTTTAGTCATTTCTTTTTAATGAAGAACTGATGATAGAGTTTAAATTTACATTAAGAATCAGCATTTAAATAATGAACTTTATATCTAAATTTACTATTATTTAATTTTATGTACTATACATAATGCAGATTACTTCCTTTGTGAGAGAAGTGCTGACCAGAGTTCCAGAGCAATCTCTCTTGAAAGAACGTAGCCAAATGATGTACACACACTTCTCTTTTCCTTAGCTTCATCATAGATTTTCTGATATTTCCTTCAGTAACTTTACAGAATCATGCAGACTTCTTAGATAATAATTAAAACTTAATTCTGAAAGAAGAAAGACTTTTTTTTTTTTTTGCTACATAGAAGAAAAGAACTGAAAAATAAAGATGAAATTGTAAAACTTCAAATTTAAGATTGAGAATAAAGTAGAAAAGTTTTCAAGGACTGTCGGGGTTTTTAGCACGCCCCCCCCCCCTTCCCTCCTGACCTGCGGGAGAGATTGGGGGAGCATGCCCTGACCAGGATGAACCAAGAAAGGTCCACTGGACTCCCGCACCCAGCCCTCCCTTGCAGGAGAACAATCAGAATCGCCAGGGAGAACAGTCAAAGCAGGATCTCGTTTATTGAGAAAACACACACAGCTAATATAATGTACAGGAACCAATCAGGGTAAAGGTCAGCAGTGGGGGAGAATTTATATCTACACCTATCCTACAGGCAGTAATGGGAGACACGAGCTGTCCATGAGGGCAGAAGGGTTCTGAGCCTATCCTAAAGGTGATCCGATGCCTTCTGGCTAATCGCTAGGTGCTCTCTTAGCCACATGTGGCCCCAGGACTGGGAAGCGGGTAGCAGCCAGCAAGTTAGGTTTCCTCTTTTCTGATGCAACATGTCCCACGTTACATCATGCCCTACAAAGGACCCTGTCATGAGCATTTTATAAGTTTAATTTTCATTTAGTTTCTTTGTATATATTTATATAAATGATTTACTTAAGTTTATGTTTCATAAAATTTGTTATTTCCCTACTTTTTAAGTTATTTTCCCCCCTTTTGGATGGGATCTGATCATTTCCAACATGGCCTTCCCACATTCTTGCTGCTCAAAACCCAACCCATGGTAACAATATGATATAGTATACAGAAACTCAAACATATACACCTGGCAGGGCTTTTTTTTTTTTTTTAAGGGCTTATTTGAATGCTTGATTTCCCACTTCTTATTTTCTTATTCAGTGATACTCTTTTCAAAATACTCTTCCAGGTCATCTAAACCTTTCTGTTGAATAATACATAGTGAGACCTGGAATAGTTTCATTCATTTATATATCAGTGGCATTTGTTTCTATTATTTTCGTTCTATCATAAATACTACTTGGATAGCATCCTGTTACAATCCTTGTGTTAGTGGGCATTTTATTTCTCTAGAAATGATTCTCAAGAATATGATTGCTGGGTCAAATGTCTTTTTTGATTTTTTTGGTAAAGATTCCCAGGTTTGGGTTTATCAGATCAAAGGTATACATATGTTTAAATTTAATGAATACTGCCGAAATATTTTCCAAATAGGCTGTAGTACATCATTTTTCTACCACCAGTGTGTGGGAGCATCCAAATGTCTGAAGATATCAGTATTTTAGTAAATTTGATGAACTAGTGGTTGAAAAATGTTACTCATTGTTATTTTAATTTGTATTTTCTGACTAGTGAATTTGATCATCCTTATAAATTTATTGGACATTTAAATTTACTTTTTTGTGAGTTGTCTTTTTCTAATTAATTTGTGAAGTTATTTGTAGATTGTAAAATTTCTGTCTCTCTGCCTTACTGTTATCAGTATAATATTTTTTCATTTATATATTTAAAATTTTCCCACATTCAGATATACTTTCTGTAACTTTTTGGGTTTTTGATCTTATCTGAAGAGATTTTCTTTATTTTTTGTATTCTTTTGAATTCCCATGAAAGCTTTTGACATATGGCTTTAATTGTTTTTTTTCAAGTATGATGTTAGTTGTACAATCTTTATCAGTGCCTTTATCAGATTCCTATTTCACTGAGAGTTTGCTAATTTGCTTTGTAAATCATGAAAGAGTGTTGAATGTGGCCAGATACATTTTCTTTATCTAGAGAAATAACCATAAGTTTTTTTGCCTTTATTAGTATGGTAAATTACTTGTAAAATTTTCATATGGTAAGTCAGTCTTGAATTCCTTGGGTATTTCTTGGCCATAATATATTATTGTCTTTATATTTTGCAATATTTGATTTTCTAGCACTTTTTGAAACTATCTGTTTCTGTAGTGATAACCCCTTCACTTATTACTTTATGAAACTATGTTTATGATGAATTTTGGTAAGAAATTTACTTTTTAGTGCTACTTTTGATAGGTTTTTATGTTATTTGGCCTTATAAAATAAAATGGAATTAGTCTCACCTTCTTCTGAAATATTTATGTTATACTGGTGTTACTTCTTCCCTAAAGTTTCTTTTCTTTTATCTTTTTTTGGTACCAGGGATTAAACGTAAGGGCACTTAACCACTGAGCCACATACCCAGCCCTCCTGGTTGTTTTTTTGTTTTTTTTTTTTTACTATTCATATTTAGAGACAGGGTCTTGCTCAGTTGCTTAAAGCCTCTCTTAAGTTGCTGAGACTGGCTTTGAACTCAGGATCCTCCTGCCTCAACCTCCTGAGCTGGTGGGATTACAGGTGTGCATCCCCATGCCTGGCCTCTTCCCTAAATAGTTGATGGATTCACTTATGTAACTGTCTAGGTCAGAAATTTCCTTTGTGAGATTTTTTTCCCCATGAATATTCTTTTTTTAATGTAATTTTTTAATTTATATATGACAGTAGGATGCATTACAAATCTTATTACATATATAGAGCACAATTTTTCATATCTCTGGTTGTATACATAGTATATTCACACCAATTTGTGTCTTCATACATGTACTTTAGATAGTAATGATCATCACATTCCACCATCATTAGTTACCCCATGCCCCACCCCTTTCCCCTCCAACTTCTCTGCCCTATCTAGAGATCATCTATTTCTCCCATGCTCCTGCCTCTATCCCACTATGAATCAGCCTCCTTATATCAAAAAAAAAAAAAAAAATCGGCATTTTTTTGGGGGATTGGCTAACTTGACTTAGCATTATGTGAGAAGATTTTTAATAATTCATTTAAAAAATAAATGTATTTATATATATGTGACAATTCAGATTTTATTTTCATTTTCTGTCACTTTTACTTAATTATATTTTTAAGAAATTTCTCCATTTCATCTAAATTATTTAGTTCCTGTTACTTTATTATGCCTGATGTGTTTGTAGGTTCTATAGTAAATAATACCTTCATTTATTACTGATACAATGCTCTTAATTGGTATTCTCTTTTTATTTTGATCAATCTAACTAGGCATTTATCCATTTTATTATTATTTTTAAAGGGGTACTTTTTGTCTTCACTGATTTTCACTTGATTGTCTTTTCTGTTTCATTGATTTCTGCTTTATTTCTCTTATTCCCTTCCCTTTCCTTACTTGGAATTACTTTATTCTTTTTAGCTTTTTACATTGGAAACAGGTAATTAACTTTAGACGTTTTCTTCCTTATAAGCTATTATTTTCCTATAAAGCTATACGTTTTCCTCTAAGGAAAGAATTTTAATGTATCACTTTTCATTATCATTCAGTTTAAAATATTTTAAAATTTCTCGGTGAGTTTTTCCTTGATGAATCAGTAGTTTATAATTGTATTGTTTAATTGCCCTGCTTTTGTTTTTTTACAGAGATCTTATTTAGTTTTTAATTCAGTTTCATTGTGCTCACATAGAACTCTCGAATTTGAACCTTGAACATTTTTTGCAACTTATTTATGGCTCAGTATATGGCCTTTTGGGGGGGGGGTGAATACACTTGAAAAGAAGGTGTGTTCTACCTACAATGTGTATAATGTTTTACATATATCAGGTTCAG